CAGCGCTTCACGTCATCTTCGGGATGTGACTCCAATAGGGTTGCAAAATTCCGGGAATTTTCAAAGTTTGAAACCTCCCATGGGAATTAACGGGGATTTATGGGAATTAAAAGGAATAAACTGGGAATTTTCAAAACTGAAGGTTGGGAACTTAGATATAGTTGGGGGAAATATATTTTAGTATAATCTTGACTAAAACAAACAGATGCCATCCATGTCATTCCTCAATCACATGCACACACAGCAAACTGCTCCTGTTACAAAAGGACAATAAATTCTAATAACTTGTTTAACTGTACACTAAATTGTATAATTCATCCCACTCTCACCCAACTGGTCGAGGCAGATGGCCGTCCCTCCCTGAGCCTGGTTCTGTCGGTTCGGAGTTTTTTTTTTCCCCTGTGGGGGTTTTCGGTTCCTTCCCACTGTTGCGGACTGCTTGTGGACTGCTGAAGCTTATAGGGAATGTTGGGTGAAGCGCTATGAGAAGACTGTTGTTGTAAATATGCGCTATACAAATAAAATTGAATTGAATTGAACTGCTCACTGCAGGTCTACTGAGACCACGCCCCCTACAGGCGCTGCCTCCATCACATGTACAGATGAGTTCTAGAAGACTGGACCACACTTGAGCCCAAAGCACAAGACTATTGAAGGCACACATTTGCACCTGTGGACTGTGGATATTATGGGGAAATATATTTATTAAATTTTTAAATTGCAAATATCACATACAAGTGTATTCATCTAGTAGCTAGCTAGCTGATAAGTTAAATGCTAAATAAGCCATAGCTAGCATAAGAGTGCATCTATGAGGCACTCTTATAAAAATGCTTCCTACCTCAAATGTGATGCTGTGATATGATACAATTTCATTACATTACCCTCAATTCCCATTAATTCCCATAAATTCCCGTAATTCTCATTATTCCCATGTAAAGTTTCCAATGTGGAAAATTCCCCAGCTGAACTTCCCATGGAAATTTACCGGAAATTGTCCGCCCCTTTGCAACCCTAGACTCCAACAGTCCCTCCCAGCCATGACCTGAATGACTGAGGATCTTCACACTGTTAGCTGTGGTTTGATCTCCACCAAGCACAGGGCCTGTTGTTGTCTTAGAGACGGCTGTGTCTGCTGAAAACGTCTAAAGTGTTGGTCCTGTACAGAGTGTAGCAACCTTATTCTCAGTCATTTAATCCATTGTTAATACATACAGTGTTTTAGTTTTCAGAAACTGTACGCCCTCTGAACTGTGTGCACTATGACATCGTTACAATGCTGTAATTCAGACCATTTAAAAAAAAAGAAAAGAAAAAAATAAAGCTTCTTTGATGACGATCAAGGGCGTACAGATGAAGAGAAGGTGCCTCTACATACAATAAATGCTTTTAAATGTGTTTTCATCCTTGTCTCCCATTTGCTTTGTGTAAACACAGCCTACAATTCACATTATCGGTCGCGGCTAAATCACTAATGGCTTCACGGTTCAACCAACAAGCACAGAACTGTTGGTATTTTAATAAATTCTTCTGGTTACATTTTTAAATGAGACAAAATAAGTGATGTTGATGAATCTTGCATTCAAACATCACAGATGAGTCGTTTAAGGACGTCATGAAAGTTAAAAACCTGACGACTTCTTTCTGTTTTTACTGATTAATGGTGTAATTTTGGTAATTTTATAAAGATAACTTCAAAGCTGGCAGTGGGTTCAGAAAAGGTACATCACATGTTTTATACGTGCATGTCTAAAGGTTGCTCACACTGGCTAAGACTAGCGATGAGGAAACACTCTGGTGAATTACAGGGAAGCCGTGCAGGACACTATTAGCTCCTGTTAGCAGCTCCTACAGGACTTACAGCGCTCTCGATGCTGCGGGCCGTCTCTCCGAACAGCTCTGACTTGGGATCCTCCATCTCTGGTGTGTAGATAATCTCCTGGCCCTCCACCTCGTCCAGATGTAGGAAACCACTGAAGCGCATGGTGGCTGGTGGGGGGAGAGAAGAGAAGGAGAGAAGATGATAAAACAGCACAGTTTGACCTTTCTTCCTCTATCACTCAGGTCCTGCTGCCTTCACAGCGCTTGCTTTGGGACAGTGCCGGTTTGGGTTAGTTATGAATCGTGTGTGTGTTGACGGGGTCGGGTTAGTGAGCGTGTTGCTGACTGTGTGGGGGCTGGAAGTCGTGGTGGTGACAAGGTGGACTGTGAAACATGAGAGTAGGAAGGAAGGAAGGAAGGAAGGAAGGAACAGAACAAGGGCAAGGGACTGAAGGAAAAATGGGCCAGTTTTACCAGACCGAGACTCGTCCCAAAAGCTGGCCGTGGCATGGAGGGCTGGGTAGAGAGACAACAAGTTAGACAGACGCACAAATACACAATGAAAAAAAAAAACACAACACGTGCTTAAAGAGGCAGCAGCCCACAGGCACTTTGAAAAGCGGCTTCTTCAGCAAACACAGAGGCTCCCCTGTGCGACCTTGGGGGTTTATGTTGTCCAGCATCTATCAACTCTATACGGTTTCTTCGTACCAGAGAGGTGAGGGCTCGAAATAAAGCTGAAAGTCAAGTGTGTGTGTGTGTGTGAAGAACAGAGAAGCCTGCGATGCGCTGATGCCGGGCTTCCACGCCGCCGCTCGTAATCAGCAGAACAAATTGCCCAAATCAATCATGGCTGCCCCTGCCTGAGCAACGCCAGGGAGGATGGGAAGAGCACTTGTATGATTATCGTAAAAGATAGTCGTAATTGTCTCCTTAATGCCGACGGACCGATGACTGACACAGCATGCTTAAAATCGCATGAAAAGGACGGCGGACACTCCGACACACACACCCGCCGCCTGTTTCCCCCTCCTCGCCTTTACAGTACTTTCACGGGCAGCACACATCGATTTAGACGTGACAGCGGCTATAAAATAGAGGCAAATGGGCGAGGTCTGGCCGATAGGGAGAGGGCGAAGAAAAGAAAGTGAGGGGACAGCGGGAGAGAGATCTGACTTTTAATTTGCAGGGAAGACAAACATCAGAGAGGGTGATTTTCCAGCCCACTGCCGTGACGGATGTAAAGAGAGAGAGACAGAAAGTGATAAAAGGAGGGACGGTGCTATCTGACCATCAAGTTCTAGTGAAGTGTAAAACGTAATGGATTTGTCAGACTTCCCCTGGCATATGGAGGAGTTTACAGTATCTGGAGCTCAGTGTGCTATTAGCTTCGACCTGATGTCACAGGAACAGGACATTGGCTTGTTTAAAAGTCACACATGGCGAGCTGGCAGGGACTTTTTAAAATAATAATAATAAACCCAAAGCTCTATCATGGTCCACGATACGACTACAGGGAAGATATATACATTCTCAGCCAAGGTCTAGCTTTACAATACAACACAAAGAGTCTCACAGACATCCTTGAGTGTGTGAAAGTGTGGATTAAACTCCAGCTTTCACCATTTGATGCCTCAATAAAACGCAGCAGCAGAAACGAACAGTCAGACCTTCTGGTTGTGAGCCGGTGGCCGGTGCACGAGGGACGTGTCGTTTCACTTCCAATGAGCGGAAGATCAGCTGAGCCCTTCTCGGGAGAAAAAAAAAAGCCCATTGATCAGCTTGTCGCGCTGCCTGCTTTTATTGGTAACACTTGAGCTGAATGAAGTATCGATCGCTGCTGCGCTGTCATTGTTAGCTGAGATAAATATTTACAGGCTTTTGCAGATTTGTTCAAACAGTTTTCTTGCAGCTAAAGCCTGCTTCTATTGTCACCTGGACTTCAGGCAAAATGTCATCAAGCTCAGCATCAGCAGATGTTCAGCTGTAAGCCCCGGGGTAAGAGGAGCCCTATGAGGGGCCAAAGGTGGCCTCGTATCTTCAGATCATGTGGCGGATTGTGTGTAGTAAACCCTGCTGGTTTATTAGAGGGCTGTGGGACCTTCAGAACTGCAGAAATGCACCTCCATGCACTAGTTTGTTGCCTCAGCCCTTTTAAGCCATGACCTAGAGCTCCCATGGGAGACCGAGAGAATCCCTCTCTTCACTATTAGTCAGAAGACGGCTATCGCGAGGACAAACAGAGAGCAGACTTCAGCTGTGGGATGAAGGGAGAGAGAGAGAGGGATAGAGGAGGCCTTTATGAACCAGCGTGGCAGAAGGCACTGATTGGTACAACATCGGCCTCTGGTCGTCTCTTAACTCTCTCTCCTCTCAACTCCAGAGAGAAATCAACTGATGCAAGACTGGATTGAGACTGACTGGGGTTGTGGGAGAGAAACAAGTAAGATATAGCTCAAGAGAGAGCCGCGAAACAGTGGCACTGACTGATAAAGAGAAGAAGTGGTGAGTGTGTATAAAAGAAGCGATGGGAGATAAAAAGAAATGGGAAGAGGCAGAAAGAGGACAGAAAGAGCACGAACAGAGACACCGATGGTTATTTAGAAAGCACAGCACAGCGGCCCTGGAATACGGTGCTGCATCAAACTGAACTTCATTCAAACATCTTGAGAAAAACCAAAGAAGATAAAAGTCACCGGGAATCAGGCAGGGCATGATTAACATCAGCGAGGCGTTGTCACGTTCATAAACAGGGTTTACTGGAGTCACACCTTACATTTCACTGGTTGTGTATGTTTTCTAATATCCGGCCGCCGGATTTATACACCAAGAGTGACTCATGAAAGCAGTGCTGCAGAAAAAAAGCACCACCTGTTCTGGTTGTTTAAGAAAAACGGCCAATTCACTGTTTCCAACGCAGACATTAAACATGAACAGGAATATAATGAGATCATGTGTTAAAATCAGTGGAAACCCCAAGAAACACAAACAGGTTTTCAGTGCATTCCATCCTTAAAACAACACAACATAGTTTAATTAGTAGTAATATAATTGACTTTATCTCATATCTCATGAAAATAAATGTCTTATTTAGAAATTCTCCAGAAATGAACTGTTTGCACTGAAAAAGAAAAAAAAAAAAAGGAAGCTAATTGAAAATATGAGTACTTAAATATTTATAGTTCAACATTTTTCCAGTGCTGCTAGTAAAACCTGTGGGCACACTTAATAGAAAACAGCAAACTGATCTGTTGCACTTGATGCCAGCTCATCACAGTGGAACATTATGGACATTAAGGTCGCATCAGGAAGAGAGCCGACTTTAAACCTCATTAATGTTTGTAGCGACGCAAACGGCCCCGCTTCATACCCGATGTAAACTTTAACAGTCTGTTGTTTGGATGGACGCAGATGGGAAACATCCCGTGTAAATCACATATATAGCACGTCTCTGCTTTTAGCTAACTTTAACAAATACACGTTTTCCCATGAGCCCAGTGGAGCAGATCAGGGATTGGACTGTGGGCCAGAACACTGCAAAGTGATGGAAACACAAGATGTTGTGAAGCTTTTCTGGCAGCAGAGCTTAAAGCTAACAAACAGTTTATGTGTGTGTTAAACAATGTTGGGTTTTTTTTGGAATTTTTTTGGATCAAAATAAGGAGTAATTATTAGGTGTAGCCCAATATATTAATTCATTAAATGTTCAGAAGTAGTGAGAGATTTCTGTCAAGAAGGTCACACAGACCAGTTATCTTTCCTAGACACGGGCCGATCACAGTCACGTGACGTCACCCCCAAGGACCCAAAACATGATTACATTTCAAATAGTTTTAACGGTAACGCTCATGTGGTATTAATTCTACTAACTACTAAATGACGTAACTTTACAGAAAGACGAGCGACAGTAACCACAATCTGAACAGAGACGGAGCTTCTGAACCCAGAGGAACCGGCAGACAAAGACAAAGCAGTGGAGGAGGAACAGGAACATGCGTAGGTAATTACAGAGGGGCATTTCGACTTACAGGGGCAGTTGGCGCCCTCTGGAGTGCTGGACGGAGTCTTGCCGTCGGGACAGCAGCCGAACTCTGTGTTGTCGCAGGATGACCTGTCCTCGGCTGTGGGTATGGTGGTGGCGGCCAACATGGGATCTGCAGGTGATACACAGGGGCTCATAATGAACTTAACAAATATGACATCATGAATTATGATAAAGGTCATAAATTAATGCCATTTTGTCTCAGCGATATTTGTGTGTCTCTACAGCCAAAAGCTACGACTTCATTTGTTTGTTCCCTTTGTGCTGCTGCTGCGTTACAGATGTCTGTGTGTTTTCAGTCTGCTGACCAGTGATTGGACGCTAATAGCGGCATCTGTCAGGAGTGATTATATGGCATTTTCATGGGAACTGATTTTACACCTGGAACTCATTTTGTCAGGCAGAGAACACTTAATGGGCACTGTTGCCAGTCATGTCACACACAGAGCACTGTAAATGATGGGGGGATGTGATAAGTGCTCGCTGCTGATTGGTTGGCAGTTACCTTGAAGGCTTTCCAGTAGGGAAAAAAAAACATGCAGGCATGTTGGCGTTACTGTCCCTGTATATCTGGCTATCTTGGGACATAAAAGACATGAAAGTGGCTGGGCGTTCTCCATCTGAAGGATGAGAGTGTTACAGCAGCACGCCGCCGCCGTCCTCTCTAATGATGGCGCTGGTGCAGGGAGCGTCTGGGTAGAAGCGCTGCACTTTATGGCTGCACAGAGATTAGAAATAATCGGGGGGGCAAACGGCTAGCGGCTAAACAAGTCGTAAAGACGTCAGAGGCGAGGGATGTCCTGCTCAAGGACTCGCGGTCAAAGGATGTCAGGAGAGGGAGGAGGAGGAGGAGGGGGGTAGAGGCTGGGGTTTATGGGGCATCTGTGTGGTGTGCAGATTTACAGATGCTGGGCTGAAGAGGAGAGTGCTGGTGGGGAAATAGGGCCAGAGCACAACAGCAAAGGGACGCTATGAGACTCCAGTGAGAGCTCTGTCGAATAAACAGAAACACACACACACACACACACGGAGAAGTGCAGATTTCCAAAGATCGAGGATACAAAACGTGCAGATACACACCTGTGACCTGCTCACATTTACACTGAGACAGCGGTGTGTGCACTCTGAACATGAGGAGAAGGAGATAAGACACACACAAACCAACGCACAGAAGCACAGATAAGCCTTATATACAGATGCACAAGGCCATCTCACACACACACACACACACATCCTCTACGTATGAAAAAACACAGATTGGTTCAGTTTTTAATATCCATGTTGAAATGTGCAAACTCCTGATCTGCTTTCACACTCACACACTGATGTATACCTCTGCACACTCAATGTAAGAAACATGCAGGCATGCTTGGCTTCACATTCATTCACACACTCACACTTATACCCACAGCCACCAGACACCAGGTCTCCTTTGCAGACAGGCTACATGCTCCTCGCGTCACCGAGCACTCTGGTCAGCCTCTGACAAGAGAATAAATCTAAAAGTCGGCGAGACGGAGTGAGAGGGGAGGAGGAAGAGCTGAAGGAAGAGCACGCTGGGGCCATGCTGTTCCATCAATCCTACCCTGTTACTGCAGCCTGTCAGGCCAGGTGGACGGACGGACGGACGGATGGATGGAAGGCAAGATCAGAGAAATGTAAAGAAAATAGGTCTGATTGAAAAGTCATCCTTTGTTGTCCGAGCGGAGGCCCTATAGCCGCAGCCAGCTGTTACAGTCAGGAGGACGTGTCGAGAAAGATTTGAGACTGCTCCTGCAAACACTCACACCTCAACCTCGCAGTCACATCATCCTGTCAAGTCAGGCTCCAGAGATCCAAAGATGCGGGCCAATAGTTTCATCTATCAGGCCTGTCGAAAGTGTATTTTACAGAGCTTGGGTTTGTTTTGCTAGGTGTTGAGAGCAGATGCTGGTGGAATGGGAGAAAAAAAAAGCATGGGTGATGTAGCAACAGCCAACCATGCAAATACATCCTTCTTTGTCTAAAATTGAGATATACGTCTTATGCCAGTGGAAATGACACTAACAGCATCTGTTTACAAAGATTTCTCTTCTCTGCCTGCTTGGCATTGACATTCGTCTCTTCAAAAGCAATTTGCATACAAATACATAAACCTGCGCCTGTTTTACATTTTCAGTTAACAGATGATGGCATGAATGTGTTATGATGTCAGCTAAGAGACCATGAGTGTGTCCAACCCCTCCTGGAACAAAACAGGCCCACCCACACACCCTCAACGCTGTATGGATAATGAAGTGAAAGAGCAGGGATTTACCGACGGGCTCCGCTGCCCCACTGGCCTCAGGGGGGACGCCACTACCCGCTTCTTCCTCCTGCTCCTCCTCTTCTTCGGCCTGGTCGTCCCCGCTCGGCTCCCCGCTGCCCGAGCCCTCGAAAGAGGCTACGGCAGCGGAGGGGGCGGGACTGCTGCGAGCGGAGGGGGTGGTGGCGGCGGCAGCGGTGGGCTGCGGCGCCTGAGGCTGGGCGTGAATGGGGTGGCGTGAATTTGCTTGGTTGTCGATGAGGGTGATAAAGGGGGTGGTGGCCGGAGGCTGGTCGATGGTCTCTGTCGGGGCGGTCCTTGGAGGCGGGATGGCCCACACCATGTTAGGGTGGAGGGGGGCGGCGGTGGTGATGGTGGCGGCAACGGTTGAGCTGGGGGTTGTGGCGGGTGGGTTGGGGGTGGGTCGGTCTGCCGGCTCGGAGATGGTTTCTGGTGAGGGAAGGGGAGGAAGCAAGGAATGGATGAATGGCTGAGCAAAGATGGGAATGTTTGGTTTTGCTTCACCTGACTCCAAGAGAACCTCAGAAATCACACCAAAGGAAATAAAAACATCATTAGCCAATAAAGCATCACAAAAGCCACTTTATGGTTTTTACAACCTACTGCTGGCAATAACTTTCTTACCTCAGCATTTACCGAACGATTACGGCCGTGTTAATCATCTAACTCATCTCCCTGATTCTCAACAATGTCGTTAAGAAATTAGATTAAAAAGAAAACACACACACTCTTATTTGTAAAAGCTTCCTGATTAAAAACCCTGCAATGGATGAGATGTCAGCAGTTTTTATTTCACAGATCTTAAAAGTGAATATGGAATATGCTGAATGTAGATGACGGCTGTTTTCAGACTTACATGTTCTGCCTTCAGATAAGTTCTGTTTCATGGGTTAAGAGCATTGTGTGTAGTGTATTTGTGTACACATGAGGCATGTATTTGTGCTCACAATATGCATGTTTGCGTGTCGCATGCATGCTGTGCCAATGCCTATGAATTATATATCCATATTCAAATGCTGCCCTCCAGTAGCAAAGCTTTAATCACCAACAGCCAGTGCCTCTGGTGATGAATGATTGATAGAAATGGGGCAAAAAAAGCCGGCTTTAACTCTGGCTTCAAAGACGACAGACTGCAGCTTGCAGAGCGCATGAGCATCCATCAACGCCACCACAAACACACTGATGTCAACAAATGCACACGAACACACACGGCAAAAACATCTCTCCAGATGTAGCAGAGAGAAGAGCTTCCCCGCAAAGAGACCATCATTACCAACCAAGAAGCTGCGGTGCAAAAGGACAAACTGTCGGCGATAAAGGAACGATAAATAGGACAAAAACTCCTGAGGGGGACGAGTGAGTTGGCAGGGAGGCGCTACGTAAGCGAGCACTCCAGATTTAGCCAAGGCAAGCAGGCGTGACAGTATTGTCATTTTTCCTTTACGTCTTTACTTCCCACGGGTATAGATGTGCGTTGGTCACAGGGTGAAATGAACAGAAGATTGAAAAAAAAACATACCATAGATTTGCGCCTCATTAGGATTCGCCTAACATTATGTGTAGGACTTAATTACACTGCTATAATCGCTTAGTTGATCGGCAATTATTCACTGAGGTGTGAAATGTGATACCTACTGAGACGGCAGAAAGCCTGGGAGACACACAGTGTCAGCTCAAAGCTCCGCAGATATTTGTATAGAGAGCGATTTGGAGTGGAGTCCGTAAAGCGGTGATGCTATCACCAAGGATGGTGGCATGCGTTGCCTATCCTCTTGGCTACACCTGTCATTCAGGTGCCAAGCTTAGCGTCAAGAGCTGTGCTCCCTGGTATGCTCCCTAATGTGTGTTTGGGTGTGTGTGCCTATCTAGAGCTCTGTGACATGGGATAAGGAAAGAAAAGAACACACGTTTGAAGAAGGACTGGCAGCACAGTCTGTTCAGCTGATACTTCTCTTAATCAGGTTTAGCAGTCCGTATGCTATTTTTGTTTTATTTTTTTCCCCCCCTTAGAAGAGCAATGGAAAGTAATGTTGGGTAGAGAGGGTAAAAAAAAAATCACTGTCATCTCGGCTTGCCTCAGCCGTGTAGTTATTGTTGAAAGGTGGTTATTAAGATTGTTTGTGGTGGCAGCCGCCCTCAGCGAGGAGGAATCTGGATCTAGGAGACTGGAGGGGAAAGACAAGAGAACCACAGAGGCACTGATAGGGACGAACCGCCGGGAATCAGACAGAAAGAGCAGGTTAACAAAGCAGCAGCGCGAGAATACGACGACGCAATGAGGGATTGAATAATGAGAGAAATTTTCAGGACACGGAGGAACGACGGTGAAGGCGACGGAGCCCTGACTAACATGCAGGCTGAGGGCTGTTGGTGCCATATGTTGGCATTCGTTGCCAATTTGCCGCAAACCTACAGGTGATAGCACCATATGGGAGAGGCAGGTCAGTGCCAACACGGTGACCATTTTCTCCCAGTGCCAGGATTTGCTCATCGGTACAAATGCCCTCCCTCTGGTGCTTGGTGAAATCGCTCTTGCATTTCTTGCTATATTTCTCGGGTATCGCTTCATCTTTAGCTGAGACACAGCAAAGAAGCCAGGAAAGCTTCTCCCTGTAGTGTGCGGCTGCTCCGAGACTTCAGAGAGAGCTGGGCAACATCACAGCTCTCTGTCACGAGCACAGAGATTTGAGGAGCTTTTTCTGCAGGCTTGTGATTTTTCCCGAGCCTGCCCATTAGCGACAGAGTGTGCAGCAGCAGTCACACTCTGTGGTATAATAAAAAGTTGCAACAGATCAATGATGTTAAAAAAGATCAATATTCACTCATTTATATAAGCCCTTGGCAATGCTCTTGTCAAACCACATAGCAGCTCGGTGAGCATTAGCATGCCGCAGCGCTGGGGCCGGCGTCTGGAAGCCCTGCATGTAAACAGCGGGAGGGAGGGCAGGCGAGGCTGCAGCGTGGTGAGGGGTGGAGGCAGAGCAAATGCTAATTCGCACCCAGCCACACGTGAAATGAGCTCGAGATCTAACCCCCGAGCCGACAGCAGCGGCAGAGCAGCTACCCGCGGTGCGACCGCATCCGGGAGAAGAAATTAAAAGATCCTCTGTGGCTGTCGGTGGGCCCAGCTCTCGCCTGTCTGTTCCTCCCCTCAGGGTTTGATAGAGACAGAGTCCGCTGTGAGGCGTCTTCTTGCCTTCTGTGTGCAGCAATGCTAGGTGTGGGATTCCACACAACCCACATCTCTATTGCCAGGCAACAGAGGAATGTGAAACCAGACTGGAGTTTGGCTCCTTTCGCTGCTAACCCACGGCACTGCATTTGTAATTACCAGATGTTCAGGGACTTATCAAAGCCTCGTCGATCTCTTGTTGAGCATATTTAAATTTGTTGTCGGTGTACCTGCAACAGCAACTCAGCACAGGCCATTCGAGCAGCCGTACCTCCCTCTGATAAGCCCTAATTTGGGTCTGATGAAGACCGCTCGAGGGAGCTGAGTGAGAGGGACTTGTCTCTGAGTGCTGGTCACCTAAGCTGTGCTCACTAAGCAACGAGGTGAATGAGCAATTTTCTACCCAAACATGTGAGACACCTGGCTGTGGCTCATGGCCACAGCTACACAGCTGGCACTCCTCTTCCCCACTGTGCTTGCCGGCAGCTCATCTAGCATCCTGTTGTGACGCAAGCTGGCAGTCAGTGTCACAACTTCACTGTACATGAAAGCTGTGGCCTTGGCTCATGTCCCAGCACCTATTACACCGATCCAAACAACGTCCATCAGCATCTGGCCAGAGTGGCAGAAGCTGCACCTTCTCCTTCATACACAGTCCTCCTTCGGCAGCATCGTGTTCCTGGCACCACGAGGCTGGAAAGGGATTGACGCATTCCTCAACAAGGGGCCTTGAACATGAAGCCAAATCCCAACAGAGGGGCGAGAAGGCAAAGAGGAAGTGTCATTGCTGCCGTGTGGAAGGCTCAGACTCGTGCCAAACTTGGTTTTCTCTTTTGGCTTTTAACTCTCTGAACCCCAAGCAGTTTCTGGGTATCTTTTTACTCCTGTCACATTTTTTTTTTTACACTGCTTCCAATAGTGACACACTTCTATGGAAACAGCACAACCACGGCTAGAAGGAGGGAAGACTCAGAAACGGCTTCTTTGCAGTATGACACAGATAAGATCCCATAAACCTGTCTGGTCTGTGTGAACATAGCAGATCAGCTGTTTGGTTCAACCTGCACCAAGGAGAACAAGGTGTGTTGTTTTTTACAGAATCTGGTGTTTGGTGACTTTTTAAACGAGACATGTAGAATAAAGTCATTTTAAGGAGTCAGTGTTAAGCTTAGACTTGGTTACGTTTCCTGATAGAACCGCACACGTGATTCATTTAAGGATCATCAGAAATTTAAAAAGGATTAAAAAATAAATGTTTTACTATTTTCACAGTTTGTGTAATTTTGGCAGCTTTTTAACAAAGCATGCCTTTCAAACTCACTGCCAGGTTTGTGGTTCAGAGGGTTAAAATCCCTTTTAGTTATTTATTAATCTGAGATTCCTGACCAGATGGGGTTGCTCTGAACACGACCTAATTGCTGCTATCATGTTTTGTTTATGATCTTTTTATTTCATACTTTACAGCACTTGGATTGGCCTGATCACAGAGAACAGCTCAAACTACGTGCAGGTAGTTTCCTTCCTTCATCCATTTTCTTCTGCTTATCTGTGGTCGGGTCTGCAGATTCCTGCAGATGCTAAATTGAAGCCAGATTTGCTCTTGCGATGCTGCGACTTTACTTTGTGAGACAGAGAGATGGATAGAAAGGGAAACAGCAGGTGGGGATAATTTGAGCCTCACAGCGCTGCTCATTATCTTCTGATCGGGGACTGACAACAGTTGGCCATCCGTGTGACGCGTGATGCATAGCGGCTTTGACGGGGCTCACCTGTGCACTGTCCAAAATGCTGGACTGTGATGTCCTTGTCCTGCCTACAGGCTATGGTCCTCAGCTGGCACTGGTCGGCATAGGTCACCCCATCTGAGCCGCACACCTGCTCCACAGTGACAGAGACGGAGCGATGGGATACGGCAACACATGCTACTCTACTACCTATTTCATAAGAACAGACAGTCTCAGAGACCCACCTTAGTTTTGTTTTTCAGGTCACAGTCAGGTGAGGGACACTCACAGTGGGCCTGGCCGTTCTCCTCAATGCAGGAGGCTCCAAAACTACACTCTACCTCGTCACACGATGTCGGAGCTTCAGGACCTGTGGCACAAAATGTTTTGCAATGTTACACATTCTGTACAGCTTTAGCCCTGAAATGATAGTGGCATGTGTGTGGAAATGTGGAGCTAAATTAAAACATGAAGTTGCATGAATACTTAATGTTGTGTAGTTGCACAACTTTTGGTTACTTCATTAAGAAAAAAAAAGAAAGAAAACATTAAACTGGTTCCTTAAAGT